GCATTGGAAGAGTATGTTGGAAATGTTCATTCTTGAAGTTATCAGTTGGCTAAAAAACAGGATCCTAAACCAAACTCTATAAGCTTCTTTTCAATTTCTTAAGAAACAGCTGGTTTAGTCAACTTATAAACTTATAAAGTTATAAGTTTTATAACATAGCAAAAAAAAAAAAATCCTGACAAATTGTAATATCATCATCATCCATCATCATTTTAGTTATTGTCTATCCCTAGGGGATGAAGCCTCTTCCGCATGTTTCCAACCAATATAGTCCTGAGCTTTCTTTTGCCAATTGAGCCCACAATACTTGCTGATGTCATCGATCCATCTTGTTTTAGGTCTCTTTCATGGATGCTTTTTATCAAGTGGGATTCATTTTATTTATTTATTTATTTATTTATTTATTTATTTATTTATTTATTTATTTATTGAATTTCTATACCGCCCTTCTCCCAAAGGACTCAGGGCGGTGAACAGATTAAGATTTCATATACATATAATATATATTTTTTTAATAAACAGTAAATAATAAATTGAGTCAACTTGGTGTAACTGCTAAGACCTTGGCATAGAATTTAGATGTTTATGCTAGCCCTGCTTGTTGAAACAGAAAGGTCTTCAGGGCACGTCGGAAAGTGTGAAGATCTGGGATTATTCGTATTCTAGGGGGTATTTTGTTCCAAAGAGTAGGTGCCCCCATAGAGAAGGCTCTCTCCCTTGGAACTACTAGACGACATTGTTTTAATGATGGTACTATGAGTAGGCCTACTCTGTGAGAGCGTATTGGTTGGTGGGAGGTTATCAGTTGCAGCAGGTGGTCTCGTAAGTACTCAGGTCCTAAGCCATGGAGCACTTTAAAGGTAAGAACCAACACCTTGAAGCGCACTCGGAAGGCCACTGGAAGCCAGTGCAGCTCGCATAAAAGAGGTGTTACATGTGAGCGCCATGTTGCTCCCATAATTACTCACGCGGCCGCATTCTGGACCAGTTGGAGCTTCCGGGTGCACTTCAAGGGGAGCCGCATGTAGAGAGCATTGCAGTAGTCAAGTCGGGAAATGACGATTGATTGCCTTGGTCCACCTGCCATCAGTTCTTCTTGCTATGTGACCAGCCCATTTCCATTTCAATTCTTTTACTCTTTTGATGATATAATATATTTTTGCCTGTTCTCTAGTCCATGAGTAGGTCTTTCTATCTTGTCTTGTAATGCAGAGCATGTATCCTTTCATGGCACTTTGCACCACTCTTAGCTTTTGTATCAATTATGAGGTTAGTGTCCACATTTCACTGGCATGTGTTAGAGAAGTTGTAATGTAAATCATGGAAATTGATGAGATTTGGGTACAATACAAATATTTCAAGGTGAAACTGCCACCACTGTGTTTGTGTGGCTGGCTGGGATCTTGCAGAGATAATGTGACCCATCCTAAGAAAATATCAATCATTTTTTTATCATATTAACCATCCTAATGTAGAAATATATCCTACAGCTATGAGATAGCATGAAGAACTGGAACATTATAAACTAGGAAATGTCTGAATAAAATTCCTGACATAATTAGATGCTATTTCACTAGCTACATCAATCTAGATACCCTTCTTCAAAGTTCATGACAAAAGATTAACTTTTGTTTCAACAATTCACAAAGCTACTGTGTATGTGATATACGGTGAGTCGTATCTCAGCAGAATAATGAGCTTCAAACTAGAACAGAAATTATCCCCAAACTTCCAGCTTTCTTCATTCCCTCCTTCCCATCAGGATTGGGTAATTTCTAGCACCTTAGATGTTGTGGAGTTACAATATGGTCAATTGTGAAGGACATATTGAACATAGTTTTGCAACGCTTGGAGAACCACAGAATCTGGAACTTCAGAATCCTCAACTAAGTCCTAACAGATCAATATCATATTGCTTTCAAATGGCTCCCCCCCCAAAAAAAAATTGTTCTATTTTTTTCTGTCATAACAGTGCTTAAGAAAATAAATTTATGAATGCAGATTTTATGAACAAATATATACAATGCACCCATCAAAATACTATCCTGCAGAGAGACTGCAATTTGTTTTCTCTACAGGGAGCTATATGTAGCGATGGACAAAATCAGTTTCGCTCATATCATTTTGGCATGTAATCACTCAGAAATCTGTACTGTTCCATCTATTTGGTAATTTATGTTCCTTAAAAAACTAAAAACAAAAAAGGGTCCCAATATATTTAAATGTATTATTTCCCCAAATGCACATTACTGCAGTTTATGCTCAATTTAATAGATTGCGCAACATTTCCAGATAAAACAAATCTTTTATTATTATTTTTTACTATGCATGCTTGCAAAATTTGATCCCTACAAATACCAATACGGTAACACTTGATTTGTACCTCCTGGACAAAAGTATAAGCTAGCTATTGACTGGATTACATTCAAAGACACTTCAGTGCCTAAAAATATTAAAGCAATGAGTGATACATATGGCTTATTATCATTGGTAGTTGGAAGCATTTTCTAAAAAAAAAAAAAAATGGCTCATCTGAGAAGTTCCATAGAAAAATCAGTGTATATTTAGGAGAGCTGCTTTTTCAAAACTATATCGTGGCTAAGTTGCATAGAAAAAAAATGAAGTGGGGGAGATGCAGAGAAAAAAATATAGATTGGATTTTTCTGCATTGCCTATAGATGTTTAAAATCCATATCCATTACTTCTTTGACTAAAAATAACAGAAATTTGTACTGCAGTAATGTATCCAGTTTGTTGCCATGTTTCAACAATAAAGATTCCCTTTGGGACACAAGCAAGAGTTGTTGAGACATTCACAGGCCATGAGCTACATGGGCTTTTTTTTTTTTTTAAGTGGGGGGGGATGCCTTTGAGTTAGTCTTGACTCCTGGCCACTGTCTGAACAAGTCCCTACAGTTCAGGCATAGTATTCACTTACCTTCGCTACCAGTTCACAAATGTGAGTACTCGCTTTGCTCGCACACGCCACCTCCGTGCATGCGCAGGGCCATCCGCGCATACGCAGAGTGTCAAAAATGGGACATGATTATATCCGGGTGGGTGGGCAGAGCCTCTCACCCCCGCCGCTACCGTTTTGCCCGAACCGGATAGAACTGGCTGAATACCACTACTGCTACAGTTTTCTTGATGAGGTGTTTCACAAATAGTTTGCAGCTGCCTCCTTAGGACAAAGAGAGAGAGGGACTTGCCCAAACTCACCCAGTTGGCTTTCTGCCTAACCGGGACTAGAATTTATGGTCTCCTGGTTTCTAGCTTGATTCCTTAACTACCAGACCGAACTGGGTTTCTAACATGAAATAAGGAAGAAATAATTATTGGTAGAAACATTCATAGGTATGTTATAGATGGTGTCAAAGCACTAATTTCACTTCACATTAAATTGAGCAACAAAGGACCTATAATAACATGGATGGTTCATTCATTCATTCATTCATTCATTCATTCATTCATTCATCATTCATTCATTCATTCCTAATTAGGAATGAAAAAATGAAGAGCCTAAAAAAATAATAATAATCTAATCTAGTGCATGAAATGCTTCAGTTGAAAGTTGTAATACATTTGAAGCCTTCCAGCCAGAAGTGGTATTCAGCCGGTTCGGACCAGTTCAAGCGAATCAGTAGCGGCGACTGTGGGTGGGCATAATGGCATCCTATTTAGCCATGTTTTCTAGGCTGGGCGCATTTGTGTAAGGCCAGGTGCATGCATGGAAGGTGCATGGGCAGGCAAGCGAGCAAACCAGTGGTAAAAATATGTGAAACCCACCGCTGCTTCCAGCTCCTACTTACCACCTTGTACTTCAGGAAGCAAGGAAGAAAGATGAAAGACAATTTCTGTATGTACAAACATATGGAAACAATCATGCCCTACTTCCTTTTTCAAAAGAAGAATGGTGACCCCTTGTTTGAGTCCAGGAAAAGATTGAATGCAATCATTCTTAGCTTCTTTCTCAGTGATATTATCCTACCTGCCAGGGCAGGTATGTATATGCGTGGGGGGTGAGAATCTGATCACTGGGATTCATTTAGTTGCATATCCCTGCTCTAAATTCTATTGTAAAATCCAATATGTACTAATAATATGTGTTTAGAAGCAGCAAAGGTTATTCTATCAATGAAGAAGACAGATACCTTATAAAGTTTAATAGAACTTAAAATGCCGAAAGTAACAGTAGACACAGCCAAATCAGTAACAAACAGTTCATTCATGAATCAGTTCCAGTGGCGCAGGAAGCCTAGAATTCTTTTTTCCCCATTACAAAGGGCTAAGAAAAAGCTTACTATAAAAAAAAATGTGGCTTCCTAAAGCAATGGTTCAAGAACAGATGGAGGAAGAAAACTGTTGTTGTTTTTATTAGTTAGAGGAAGAGGCTGTAGAATATTAAACCTATAAATCTTTCATTTGTAGCAAACTTAAAATTTCATGGCCAAATAGGTGAGTTCGTATCCCTTCTGGGGCCAAAAAAATAAGGAAGATTTTGCAGAAGTCTCCTCCTGCAAAATCCACAAAAATAACTGCATTCAATTCATTTAAGAAATGGAAAACATGAATAATTAGTATTTATCGCTTTCCTGTCCCAAGAATGAAGACTGTGGCATAGCCACCTGAATCACACCCGTTGTAAAATGCCATATCATTTTGTTTCCTAGATGTCTTGAATTTCAATTAAGAATATGTTTTTCTTCTGAGAAAGAATTTTCCATAGTCACATCTGAGACTAATTGTAAGGTGGTTGCATAGACAAAATTAGATTCTTATTCGGATAGGCTACCCTTTTGCCTCTTCCTATTATCAAGACTTTTAACTGCCATGAAAGCCAGCCCAACTGGGGAGCTTTACATTAGAGTTTTTCAGCCCAATATTATCATGGTTTACTTCAAAGATTCATGGGAAATAAATAAATTGATAAAGATGTCTCATAACTTTGGAAAAAGGGACATTATTTCTAAATGGAAATTTAGAATCTGGATAGATCTTACCTGCATTTTTGACCTAAACTCTGAATTTGGGTAATTCATCTTTTTTCATAACTCGTCATCCAAGTCTGTTGAGCCTCCATTTCCATCATGCTAGAGCACCATGGATTGTGAATTCAGCAGAATTTCAAAGACTAAAATCCAAAACACGTACAAAAGAATAACTCATGAAAAGTTGATCTACTCTGGACTTAGCATCTCTAAATGTTCCTCTAACATTGCCTATTACAAGACAAAAATCTCCAAGAAACACTTTAAACATGCAGATGTATAAGTCTGGTAGCAATATGAGACAGTTAACTCTAATATTTGTCACAACACTGTACAATACACAGTGTGTTGTGATACTGTGTTTCCCCCAAAATAAGACCCTGTCTTATATTTTGTTGAACTCTGAAATAAGTGCTTGGCCTTATTTTCAGGGAGGTCTTATTATTTTAGGGTGTGTGGATCAAGATAGGGCTCTTCTTAGCATCTTATCTGATTTCCAGCTCTGTCTCCCTAACCCTCACCAGAGGAAATGGCGGGGACCGGCTGCGCATGCATTTAAATATTTTCGGGGAGGGTTTATTTTCAGGGAGGGCTTATTTTAGCGCATGAGCTCAAAAGCCTGGTTGGGCTTATTATCCGGGGAGGTCTTATTTTCAGGGAAACAGGGTACACTTAATGCTTGTAACCAGTTCAGATGGGGTATAATATGTGTTGTGTGGAAAAAGTCCTTTTTGTCCTTTGTGGTAAATCTCCTTCCAATCAATTTCATCAGATAATCCTTTGGTCCTGGTGTTTTGAGAAAGATTCTTATTTCTCCAGGCCTTGCTTGTTAGATACTCAGCCATGGTCCCCTCAATTGCCTTTTTTTCCAGTATAAAATGATCCAAATAGTCTAGTAATCATTTGTTTGATTTGAATAGCCACCCATCTCATCAAGTTGATTTCCTTTGCACATAAGGAAAAGGTTTGAGGCCTGATCATTTTGAATGTCCTCTTCTGATTTCTTTCCAGGTGAATATGTGCATCCTTTGGTAAATATGGTGACCAGAACTGCACAGAATATTGTTACTAACAGCACTTTAGCAATAGCATTTAGACTTATATACCACTTCACAGTGCTCTACAGCCATCTCTAAGTGGTTTACGGAATCAGCATATTGTCCCCAACAATCTGGGTCCTCATTTTACTGATCTCAGAAGGGTGGACGGCTGAGTCAACCTTGAGCCTGGTAAGATTCGATCTGCCAAATTGCAGGCAGCCAGCAGTCAGCAGAAGTAGCCTGCAGTACTGCATTCTGACCACTGTGGCACCGTGGATCTTATAATGCTGAAAGAAAGAATATACTGCAGCTTCATTAGATGATATTTTTTCTTCCCATCAATGATATTATTATATGTTTATGGAGCATAGGGATACCGCTGTATTATTATTATTATTATTATTATTATTATTATTATTATTATTATTATTATTATTTCAATTTATATACCGCCCTTCTCCTATTGGACTCAGGGCGGTGCACAGCCAAGGATAAAAAACATACCAATGCAAAATTTAAAAACAATTAAAAGAATTATACAGCTTTGGCCCACAGTTTAAAACAATCCAATTAAAACCCAATTTACACTTAAAAAGCTAAGGAGCTAAAAAGAGCTAAAAAAGAGCTAAAATATCAATATGCAACCTAAACTTCAAGATATGCTTACACGAGGTTATTATAATAATATGGTATTTATATGGTATATCAATTTCTCTTGATAGAAATTGGCTAATCTAATAATTATTTCACTCACAGATTTCCCTTTTCTCTTCTTAATGCGACCCCGGAATTTATTATAAGAAAGAGGGAGAGATAACAGCATATATGAATGTTCAGCAGTTAAGCTCAATATTATATTGAGCTTAACTGCTTAACATTCAAGGATTTAATGTGCTAAACAAATAAAAACATTTTCAAGCAAAGGAATACATTGCAAGTGTCCAAGAGTTCTGAAATCATTATATTTTATCTAAATTATGAATGAGAAAATTATTAATTTGATCTCTATAAAAGAAACTGTGATTTAAATAATTTATTTGGCAGAAAGGCAGGATATCTATCCAAGAAAGACAGAGAGAGAAGAAATCATGTTCAAAGTTGGCCATTTGGCAAAAAATGAAGACACATCAGTGGTGGGTTGCTACTGGTTCACCCCGGATCAGGCGAATTGGTGGCGGCAGCAGCAGGAGGCTCCGCCCACCCACCCAGATGTCTCTGTGCATGCGCAGAAGGGTCACGTGTGTGCATTCATGCACCCACAAGTGAACCAGTAGCAGCCAAAATTGAAACCCACTGCTGAGACACACCACCTATTTAGTGAAACAAGAAGTATGTTAGGATTGGCTTCTTTGTAGCTCCAGGCTTCATATGTAGGATTCCCAGGCCATGTGTCAAACCTGAAGCTGATTTGAAGCCATGTTGGAAGCTTCAATGTTGCCACACTGGAGCTGAGGGATAGGGAGAAGGGATTTTAGATAGCTGGGATTTTATAGCCAAAACAAAATACTTTCTCTTGGGAACCAAGGACACTCTCACACCTGGACATAGGAAGGCGGAGTGATGTCACCAGACAGGCAACCAGACAGCGCCGTGATTGGACCATGTGACTGATTGTTTTGAGAAAGTGACAAAACTTTTACTTTTAACTAGGTGAAAACCGCAGGAACCTTCAGAGTCGGTTTTCACCAGATCTGTGCCAATATGATTTATTTATTTATTTATTTATTTATTTATTTATTTATTTATTTATTTTGTATATCACCCTTTTCCACCAGGACTCAGGGCAGTGAACAGCCACGGTAAAAACACAACATATAAAATTTAAAAACAATTTAAAAAACATTAAATAATTTTGGCCATCAATTTAAAATAACCCAGTTAAAACTAATTATAAATTTAAAACCTCAAGGATGGGGTCAAGCCATATATCCAATAAAGCTATTCTTTGAGGAATCTACCTGCCTTGGAATTTTGGTTTCTATGGGTCTATTATTTGGAACCCTGACACCATGGTTCTAAGATGAGCCAGTTGTGATATTGCACATGGAGAATATTGATATCTCTTCCTCTCCCCAATTATTGCAATGTGACTGAATGCAGGTTTTTATTTAATTGACAATTCTTTCATAAGCATTGTGTTTTTTCTGTCAGTCTCAGAAAGTAGAAAATATGTTGTTTGTTTGGAGGGGAATATTCAAGCTTTTCTAAATCCTGGAACATAGTAAGATAGTATTCATGCAATCTCCCTTTGTTATATTATGGGATACTCAGAGATTTTCTTTACTTTAGTTATGCTCACTCTAGCACTGCTTGAAATCTCCTGGGGTTTTAAGATACTTTGGTCACCTGCTGTGTCTTCTGTGTATACATAAAGAAGAGTGACTGAGCGTAGCAGAAATAAATACTAAATCCTATTCTGACTCCTTGATGCTTCTGAAATTTGAGTCAATTGAAGATTATAAAAATCTCTTCATGGCCAATCTGGACTTTAATTTATCCATTAAACTAAAGGCAAAGGGAATTGTTTGCAAAATGGTCATTTTTTATTACTTATATGGACTTTCTACTGTATATAATTCAAATGCCCAGAGTTGGGTAGCAGAGAGGAAGTTGGGAGGTTGGGTAGCAAACAGGAAACTCCAATTGTGTAGCTGTTGTGCAGTGGCAAAAAGTATATACACACAGCAAGACACACACTCCAGGCATCAGCCAAATCACGAGATCATGCTGTTCTTGGCAAGTATTGTGTCATTAGTATCACCCTAAAATAAATTATTTTTTTGCAGAACCAGCGTTAACATTGCAGTGTAAAGGTCAACATTTGTCAGTTGTTATGTTAGCTATCATTAATGAAGCCTTTTTTTTTTCTTTTTACTATGGTGGAAAAGACCACCATAACTTGTTTGTCCACGGTGAGCAACAACAAAACAAACAAATAAATAATAATTTTAAAAACCACTGCAATATTGTGACTTTGAACATCAGTTAAATCTACTATGCTGTTTCCATGCATAATCATTCTAGCAATTATTCAAATTCAGAACATATTAACAATGGCTTCCCAGCAGCCAACATAGTGATGATTCTACTCTTTTTTGGAATTGGAAGTATCCCTTTCTGGTATTGCTTCCAGAAAAGCAAAAAATAAATATATGTTCTTCCTTAGTCCTTCCTTCCTTCCTTGAACATTTAAAAATGCCTTCTCAGCTAAATGGTTTGGGTTAATTTGGAAAGCATGAGGTTGGACAGAGAATTTGCATACTGAGGCCCAGAAATGTGGCATTATACTTTATAACTTTATAACATATTTTATAAGCCTTACTATGTTCACTCAATTTCTTTTCACACAATATCTCTATGAATCATCAGGATGTGTTATTGAGTCAGGAAACCATGATGTTCTTGGGATTGTGTTCATACCTACTTATCTTCCAAATTCATGCAGTGTTGATAATGTAATTACAGAACATCAGAGTGGAAGGGACCTTGGAGGTCTTCTAGTCCAATCTCCTGCTCGAACAGGAGACCCTATACCATTTCAGACAAATAGCTGTCCAGTCTCTTCATAAAAGCCTCCAGTGATGGAGCACCTACAACTTCTGAAGGCAAACCGTGATGGCAAAATGTGTTTAAGAGAATCTCTACGGGCAGTCCTTAACTTACAACTAGTCCTTTAGCAACCATTCAAAGTTTTGACATGTATGTATACAGAAAAACTACTTATGATCCAGTTTTGAAATTCTGGGCTTAGTTTCCATAGCCAGGTAATCACATTTTGGGTGCTCCACAATCAGTCCACAATTACAAGTGTTTTTGTATGTTTGTTTGTTTTTGCAGTGTTCTCATTCACATGACCACAATTTATGATGTTTTTGCCAGAAACCAATGTTTATTTGCAGTTTCTAGTAAAAAGCACTCTATAGAGAATAGTGGGTTTGCTTAACAATCACAGTTCTCACTTAATGACTGCCACAAAATGAAGGCATAGAATCAGGTCCAGTCACATCGTGACCTGCTTTACAACCATTATGTCAGACATAATTATAGTCGTATTTTGAGGACTACCTGTATCTACATACAATATATATATATATATATA